ATTTCAACATTTAGTGTATTCAAACTTTACTGTTTGAACATTCAGAAAAAAACTAATAATAAGAAATTTATTCAAATTTAGAATTTTAAAACAAATGGATGAAAGACTGGGTAGCAAAATAAATAATAAAGTTCAGAAGAGCTAATAATAAAATGAAAATAAAGAAAATAGTTATGAAGTGCTAATTTGATGCAGAAACCATCATCAGAACACGCCTGTGATTCGTACCCTCCATAAAGGACTTAGATGTCATCCGTGAAAGCGTGACAGTGGAATGAATGTGGTTAATATTTATCTCCTAAAGTCTTTATTATCTTCTAATATCATTGCCCATTTCTTACAAAACACTCAATTTGAAAGAGATCACAACCACAACCTCATATACTCCTTTTACATCTGAGAGATCAGAATTCCAAATACAAGAAGGGATGTGTTCAAAGCCTTAGGGCTTATGGAAGCCAGCTCCACAAATAGCAAATCCTTCCTAGAGTTAACAGTATACAATTATATTTGAATTTCTCTGATTTAGGTAAAAGGACTTGCAAAGTTGAAATTCAAACAGATATTCCTGGACTCCTGGTTACCATGTTGAATATAAACTAAAGAATCAGGAACACTAAGGTATATTTCAACAGACATTGGGAGAGATAAGGGGAACTGCATACCCCAGGCCTACCTTCCTAGCTGAGGCAGAAGAGTTGATTAGAATGAATATAAGTCAGTAGGTGACAGGTGCTCTGACATGCTTTATCAGGAACAAAAGTGCACAAAGCAAGGGCAAAAGTTTTTGAAAGCCATCAAGTTATCTCATAATACGTGTTTTCTACATAGCATGGAAAAAAGGCACAAAAATAAACTCACATTTTCAGTTTCATTTTTCCATGAATATTTTTGAAGTTCGGTCATATATGAAGAAAAATGCCAGTGAAGCTTTGGGTAGATTATAGAGCATATTCACCGTTTTTCCATCTAGAACACTCACATCAATATGAGACTAGGGAAGTAATGAATATTTGAGTATAGCAGTAGTCACAGAACTCAAAGAGCCTCTTACGAAGCATCTGCAGTAATCCGGAGCAAAGTAAAACTAAAGTGGTAGCAAATTTGAAGCTGTAATGTTTCTATTGGTAAAATCATAAACTACAATTAATACTAATACTTTCATAACCATGATAAGATGCAAAAGTATTCCTAGTGTACAAATTCTAGGTGGGTAAAATATTGGTTTCCCATGCAAATTCCTAGTGAAGCTATTTCTGGAAGTAACTAATTTAACATATTCATTATCTCATATACTTACCAATTCTGTGGCAAGAATGCTGAAAATCAGGGTCAGTGCTATGGCGTAGAGGGTAAAGCCACAGCCTGCAGTGCCAGCATCCCATAAAGGCACCAGTTCTAGTCCTGGCTGCTCCACTTCCAATGCAGCTCTCTGCTATGTCCTGGGAAAGCAGTAGAAGATGGCTCAAGGCCTTGGGCCCCTGCACCCACTCTGACTTTCAGATAAATAAATCTTTAAAAAAAAAGAATGCCTAAAATCTCATATAATTTCAGCATACAACACAATATCATCAGCTGTAGTCCTCATGTTAAACTTTAGTCTCCAGATCTATCCATCTTACCTAACTGTGTCTTTGTTCCATTTAGCCTACTTTTTCTCAGTCCACACCACATCACCGCTTTTTAAAACTGTTTTTTTTTTTCTTATTCTTTGTTCTTACATGTTCATATTTTAGGATTTTTTTCTTCTCTTTTTAAGATACCACATATGGGTTCATGCAGTATTTGACTTTCTGTGTCTGGCTGATTTCACTTCACATATGTTCTTTGGTTTCTTCCTTATTGTTGCAAATGGCAAGATTTAATCTCTAAAAATACACACTCACAGATATATTTCTGGGCCATGTTTTCATCTTATTTTTGTAAAATGAACAACTCCTTTCAGAATCTCATAGATACTACGTATAGAAAGCTGTGCTTTCCTCTTCCCTGCCATAAACCTGGACGTGAACAGTGACCCTGAGCTTACACAAGAAGCACCTTGTAGTGAGAACGCAAATCTTCTCACCATTTTCAGATGAAACGCTCAAGATGTAATGATGATTGCCTTTGTGTCAACCCTCACTCATTTCAAATTTTGTTCTTCACTTGAAAAAACTTTTGTCTATTGCATTCTACTTAGGTCTTCAGAATAAATGAATATTTTATCAGAATGAAAAATTAAAAATCTTTCAAATTATTGGTCAGCAGAATTAGGTAAATTCAGTTCTCTGTTAAGACAAAAATCGATAGTTAATGTTGAGCTTTGTTTTTGGTACAGAGGTCTGCATTTATGTTAGGAATATAAACAGAAAATGAAGCAGGAAATCACAAGAAGCCGACACGAATGAGTGTTGATAACAGTGCATACACTCTAAACAGAGCATTGGAAAAATGCAATGTGTAGGAGTGAGTCACATCTTAGATTTGATGACTGTTTACAGCCCTTGTCTCTACTAATGAGGGAGAGTGTTTTTTTCTTCTTACTACTTGTTGAACTCTTTACTTAGTGTAGGTTTAATCTTATGAGTATAAACTGAAATTATATCATTATAAAAATTAAGAGAAGGATTAAGAGAAGAAGGAGGAGAGAGGGAGGGAGAATAAGTGGGAGGGAGGCAGGGTGGGAAGTATCGTTATGTTCTTAAATATGTATATATGAATTACTGGAAATTGGTTCACTTTAAATTAAAAAAAATAAAAAGTAATGAGAGCAATATTGCAACCATATCGCTGCTTAACTTTAATAGTATCGTTCTGTCTTCCTGGGATTTCACCGTTTCTTACATCATCAGCCACAACCAAACATGGGAAACAACAGTAAATTGATAAACCAGTTAGTGAACTCAAACTCCTAAACTGATCAGTAAGATGAAATTCCTAAAAGATGCTTCAATTTTAAAAAGAACATAGTACCACATCGGTCATGTCCCTGTAGCCAGCATAAAACAAAACATTGGGGACCAGCTCTGTGGCACAGCAGGTTAAAGCCCTGGCCTGAAGTGCCCGCATCCCCTATGAGCACCGGTTCTAGTCCCAGCTACTCCTCTTCCAATCCAGCTCTCTGCTATGGCCTGGGAAAGCAGTAGAAGATGGTCCATGTCCTTGGACCCCTGCACCTACATGGGAGACCTGGAAGAAGTTCCTGTTTCCTGGCTTGGGATTGGCACAGCTCCAGCTGTTGCAGCCAATTGGGGAGTGAACCATCTGATGGGAGACCTCTCTCTCTCTCTCTCTCTCTCTCTATTCTTCTCCTGCTCTCTCTGTGTAACTTTAACTTTCAAATAAATAAATTAATTTTAAAAAACCAAAAAAAAAAACAAAACATTGGCTTGTTTTTATTCTAAGAATTTCAACCTTTATGACAACTGTAGGAGCCTTAAGTTTCTAGCATTAAATTCAAGTATCTCTGCATACTCATTACATTTCAAAGTTGGATGGGACTTGAAAAATCACCTGTGATTAATTCACCTTCATTCTATAATATGCATGGTTACAAATCTGAGCTACTTTCGCTAAGTGATGTCTTGATTTAAGTGATTCTCCCTCAGCATTAAAGGCAGTGCTTGATACCCATTTATTCATCTGCAAAGTCACAACTCTCAAGCATCAGGGGGCACTTTGAATAACAAAAACTGCCACAAAAGCAGATAAACCAGCATGAGATACTTGTCCAGCACCCAGAAGCAAGGTAAGAAAAAATATTTTGCTAATGACAGGGTCTGTAAACCAACCATAAGTAAGCTTTCTTATTTTTTTTCATATTATAAAGGAGAAAAAGTCAATTCTGTACACTGTCCCTTAGGGTAAATGATTTCTAGTCTAAACCTATAGTTCACATCTTCAATATATTCCTCTACTTTTTTTTTAATTTACTTATTTACTTATTTGGTGTTGAGGGGAGGGTCCATGAGGTAGTTCACTCCCCATGTAGTTGCAGTGGCTGGGACTGGGCCAGCCTGAAGCCAGTTGTAGGAACTCCATCTGGTTGCACCATACGGGTGACCGGAGCTCAGCACAGGAGCCATTTGCTGCTGCCTTCCCAGGTCCATTAGCTGAAACGTGGCTTGGAGCCGGGGTATTCAGGACACAAATGAGCTCCCTGATACGGGATGCCAGCGCCACAGCTGGCAGTCTAACACACTGCACCACACACTGGGCCCATCTATCTTTACCTTCTTGCTAGTGCATATAGTCAAATACACGGCCACGAAATCTCAGGCAAGGGTGCACTCCAGGTTGTTAATGAGGGGGATTTTAGTCATCGTAGAACAAACAAATGGAACAATGGTTTCCAATCTAAGAGAAAAGTCTGAATTAGGCCATAGATATTTTGGTTCTCTCATTTGTTTTCTTTTGTTTTTCAGTACTCCTTTTTGTATTTTAATTTGTATTTCAATTTTTAAATAGTTTATAGACTCAATGTGATTTGTAGATAAGCATCTAAGAACGTAATAATATTCCCTTCCTCCATCCCTTTTAATGATTTATTTCTTTGAAAGAGCAACAGGGAGAAGAGAGACAGAGAGATCTTCCATCTGCTGAATCACTCCCTAGATGGCCACAACAGCCAGGGCTGGACCAGGCCAAAGCCAGGAGCCAGGAAGTCATCCATCCAGTCTCCCACATGAATGACAGAGACCCAACCGTTTTGGCCATCTTCCCTGCTTTCCCAGGCCCATTAGCAGGAAACTGGTAAGAAGTATAGTACCCGCTCTCTGCTGTGGCCAGGGAGGGCAGTGGAGGATGGCCCAAGTGCTTGGGCCCTGCACCCCATGGGAGACCAGGAAAAGCACCTGGCTCCTGGCTTCGGATAGGTGCAGTGCACCGGCCACAGCGCACCAGCCGCAGCGGCCATTGGAGGGTGAACCAACAGCAAAGGAAGATCTTTCTCTCTGTTTCTCTCTCTCACTGTCCACTCTGCCTGTCAAAAAAAAAAAAAAAAAAGGAGTAGCCTGGACGCTAGCACAGTGTGGGATGAGTGTTTCAAGATGCAGCTTAACCAAAAATGCTACAACTTCAGCCTCCAAAGTGTTGGATTTCTTAAGGGTTTCAACTATAGCAATTCATACCTGCCTATATTGGTGTTGTGTTAATGGTCTTTAAAATGAGCAAGATTTTCCTCTCACAGAAGTGGCTTTTTAGTTTTACCATCTGACAAAATTTGAGTATATTTTGCAGTAGAACTTTGATTAGACTACGACAGCAAAACAACTTATTAGGCATAAGTTACTAGGTCAACTATTTTTCATGGATATAAAACATTATTTGGTAAAAAATGTGATATGGAAGCAGTGCTCAGATCTTGGTTTTTGATACCACTGTCCAATCAAAGGCCCAGCACTCCTCAGAGAAATGGCTGATTGTAGGCCTGAGGTAGCAAGTATACAAAACATAGGCGTCAGCATGATTTTGTGCCAGAAGTTAAATGCTCAAAATGAACAGAATGGAGATAAGTCAGAGTGACACAGGAGACAACTTGCAAGGGCTTCCGATTGCCAAATAACAATAATTTAAGCAAAAAAAAAATTTTACAAATACTGCCACATCAAAACCTATTGTATACTTCTTAAATCACAAAGATACAAACAACTGTACTGATACACACATTGGTAACTGAATGAAAGAGAAAACCTTGCATGCCGAAAACTCCACTTTACTTGTTTACTATCTTTCAAGCAGGTGGGGCCGAATTTCCAGCTCCTTACCAGGGTCACATAGTGAGTTGCTTCCAAAAACTACAGCAAGAAAAAGGTAAAAACTAGGCTTGCAAGGGAGAAACCCAGAAAGCATGACCTCAGACAGTTATCAAGGTTAGCATCAACACTGATCAGTCACACTGCTAATGTGAAACCTCAGGATGACGTGAGGCGAATTACCCGTTACCTCTGTTGTCCTCATCATAGCCTCGGTCCAACCAAGAGAAAGATAACACACAAAAAAACCAATTTGAGGACCATTCTACAAATCACCTGATCAGCGCTTTTCCAAACTGTCAAGGTCATCAAAAAATGAAGTCTGAGATTTGCCTTAGCCAAGAAAAATCTAAATGTCATGTAGTATGCTGGAATAGAAAAAAAAAAAAAACTAATGAAGGAAAGACTGCTAAAACCTTAATAATAATTATACTTTAATAAGTATATTAAATATTAAGAATGATTAATATCAGTTTACTACTGTGACAAATGTACCAGAGGAATGTGAGATGTTAGCAGTAGGAGACTCTGGCTGTGAAATATACATGGTATCTTTGCAGCTTTTTTGTTAATCTAAAACTACTGGAAAATAGTGTTAGCTTTTTATAAAGTCATGTGATACACTCCTATAATTGCACAAAACATACTTTTGTATATGAAAGAAATCACTTTGAGGTTGATTAGCATGCTTTTCACAGACTGTGCATATCACATGTTCCTTCCAGATTGAAGGATGTCCTATAACAATCTGGAACGCTCTAGCCACTCCTCACGAATGCTGAAATTATGTTTCCACTAATGATGCTAATAATGGTCATACCTAATGTTTAGTAAGCAGTAAGATGAAGTACAATGCTACTTTATCTTAATCACAGGAAAAAATGAGGCTTTGCATACAGGAATCACAAGAAAGCTACAGAAGTTCCCACGATTCTCCATTTCAGGGACGGATGTAAGGAGTTCTAATGAAATCTGCAACTGAGGAGAAATAAAACTGGACACGTAATTCCAAGCCTGTGAGGAAGCCCAGGTCCTTTTGCAGAGTGACTGTGTTCACAGATGCTCTCCTTTTAACTGCCAGGAAGACAAACAAAAGAAAAAAGCGCCCATCACAGAACAGCCTCTGTTTCTTGACGTAAACATGATTCACCTTTGCATCACAGGGCAAGCGGCTTTTGAAAGTGCAATATCATAAGCGTATGTCCAGGATGCTGAAACCAATAATTATCCACACATGTGACCACATAGAAAAGCAAAGCTTTGTCCCCAAGTGTCCAAGACATGATTTTATTATTTTCAAATATTTTACTTATTTCTACATATTTTAATTTACATTATAGTCAAAGGCACGATGGCCCCAAGAATAAAGAGTCCAAGAAATAAAAAGTGAAAAGAAAATATCCCAGCAGGAAAACAGGAAAGGGTTATAAATAACAAACAAAGGAAAAGACCTTCAACTTCACTCATATAAATTTTAAAATAGTCACACGTTCATTAAAACTCCAGTAGTACACAAAGAAAACTTTCATAAATGCAAAAGTAACAATATACAATGATTTTAGCATCACCCCAGAGCACCTTAAAATATAATTTTAATTATCAGGAGAAAAGAAAGATCATATAACTTTAAGCAATAATATCTTTGCCAACTGTACATAAGTTTTATCAGATTTTTGTTCTGTATAAATATTTCTAGTTAAATAAGCCAGTCCCAAAAGGAAAAATACCATATGCTCTCCCTGAATTGTAGTAACCAATAGAGCACCTAAAAGCTAATCTATAGGTGTGAAATTGACACTTTGAGATGCGATGACTTTAAACAGCCCTTGTCTTGAAAGTTGAGGAGCAGTTATTCTTTTCATACTATTTGTTGAGCTCTTTAATTAGTATAGGGTTAATCGTTTGTATATAAAGCTAACTGAAAATAGATCTTAGTAAAAAGAACGGGAACAGGAGAGGGATGAGGAAGAAGGGTGGGAGTGCAGGTAGGGTGGGAAGAATCACTATGTTCCTATATCTGTATTTATGAAATGCATGAAGTTTGTAGACATTAAATAAAAGGGTAAAAGTGAAACTTCTGTGATTTTAAGTAATGGGATGATGGAAGCAGCTTCACAAACAGTTTTTTGATAGAAACTGTAGACTTACTGGAATCAAAGTCCTTTTGTTTCCCCAAGTAGTAATAAAGTCATTCCGCATTGTCCAAGGGGAATTTGTTCCAGTAACCCCAGATACCAAAACCCACAGAAGCACAAGTCAAGTCCCTTTTACAGTAGCATATACATACATGCACATTGCACATATTCTCCTGTATACTTTAAATCATCTCTAGATTAATAACAATCCTTAGTTCAACAAAAATGCTACTTAATTAGTTGCTGTATCATATCGATTAGAGAATAATGACGAGGAAAAAAGCTTATACATGTTCAGTACAGATGTGCAATTTATTTATTTATTTTTACATTTCCCATCCATGTTTAGTTGAACTCATGAATATACAAACCCATCCTTAAAATTACTAGTGCTAGAACCCGGCATTGTGGCATGGCAGGTAGCGCCAGTTGTGAGGCCAGTTTCCCATATAGGCACCAGTTCACGTCCCAGCTGTTCCACTTCCAATCCAGCTCCCTGCCAGTGACCTGGGAAAGCAGTTCAAGGCAGTCCAAATATTTGGGCCACTTCCACGCATGAGGGAGACTCAGATGGAGCCCACGGCTCCTGGCTCCTGACTCATGGCTTCAGCCTGGCCCAATACTGTGAAGCAGTGGATGGATGATTTCTGTCTCCCCTTTCTCTGTAATTCTGGCTTTCAAAATAAATAAATAAATCTTACAAAAGAAACTGTAAGACCGACTATAGTCATTCTTAAATCCAGCAGAGTTAGGGGAATGAGAAAAAGAAATAACTGATGTATTTCATACCTTGTAAATTGGAACATTTCCATGGAGGTATTATATTATTTCACACAAGATTTCTATTAAGAATGTACTGTTTTTATGTGGGTTGTTGAAATATGCGCAGTTACTTCCTAAGTGTTGTGACAAGTGAATTAGGGCATTTGCCATTAAGTGGTCCCAATAATTTGATTGTTAACGCACAAATCTTATTTTCCAGTGGATCAGAAAGTATTTATAATGTTTTATTGAATTAACAAATACATGAAAATATGTCATAAGTTCATAAATTTAATGATTTTTCTGAAGCAGAGTACACCCATTTAACGAGCAATCATACCAAGGCTCACTCCATTATTATTATTATTTTTTTTAACAGGCAGAGTGGACAGTGAGAGAGAGAGACAGAGAGAAAGGTCTTCCTTTGCCGTTGGTTCACCCTCCAATGGCCGCCGCGGCCGGTGCACCGCGCTGATCCAAAGCCAGGAGCCAGGTGCTTCTCCTGGTCTCCCATGGGGTACAGGGCCCAAGCACTTGGGCCATCCTCCACTGCACTCCCAGGCCACAGCAGAGAGCTGGCCTGGAAGAGGGGCAACCGGGACAGAATCCGGCGCCCCGACTGGGATTAGAACCCAGTGTGCCAGCACTGCTAGGCGGAGGATTAGCTTAGTGAGCCGCGGCGCTGGCTCACTCCATTATTCTTGAAGGACCACCTCCAGCCACTATCCCACTAGCTTTGGTTTGAACAGAATAGATTAATTCCATTGGTTCTGAAGTTGATTTAATTGTACTCCTTCAGTATGCAGATTTATTGCATGTCTCTCTGCATACTGTGTGTGTGTGTGTATGATGTATTCATATTTTTAGTTACCTTGTAGTTTGGTCATTTTTAATTCTTTTTTTTTTAAGATTTTACTTATTTATTTGAGAGGTAGACAGTGACAGGGAGAGACAGAGAAAAAGGTCTTCAATCCACTGGTTCACTCCCCAACTGGCCGCAACATAAAGGATCTCTGTGAGAACTCAGTGGAAAGAAAGGACCATCAAAGGATGTACTTTTCTCTGAAGGGAAGAGAGAACTTCCACTTTGCTTATGGCCTTGCCCAAATACTGATGGAGTCTATGGTCACAAAAGGCTTCTATAGCCATGGCAGCTCATGGCAAGGGCCTTGAGTGATCACTGACATCATAAATAAGAGTGTTAATTGTTAAAGGAACAACAGAATTCACTGTGCACTTATTCCCCATATAGGACCTCCATCCTTAATGAGTTATACTATGAGAATTGACTGCAAATCTTGTTCACAAACTGTACTCTATATGTTGTGTGTGGGGGGGGTGCGAACTGTTGAAATCTGTGCTTAACATGGAGTTGGTCCTCTGTACATAAAATAAAACTAATAATGAACCATGATGAAGAAAGGGACGGGAGAGGAAGTAGGAGGTGGGATTGGAGTCAGGGTGGAGAGTGGGTATGTTGGAAAGAACCACTATATTCCTAAAGCTGTACCTTTGAAAAATGCTGTCATTAAATAAAAACCTAAAAAATATCTGCAGGAAAAAATATTAAATAGAATAAAATATTGTTCAGTTATTTGTGTATCAAAAAAGTGTTGTTTGAGGCTACTCTTCAAATGACTGACTTTCAAAAAAGACGTTTAGTAGTGCGGGTGATGCATCCTGAACTGTGACTGTGTGAATAAAAGAAAGAGTGCCTATGGAGGCACACAGCAGCACTCTGCATGTCCCTTCCCCATGCAGTGTGTCAGAATAACAGATGGCACAGTCGGTGAAGAAAAGCAATTCAAATAAGACAGGTAAAAACCCACCTTTCTGGAGAGAAAAGGTATTTTGTATAAGGAGTTCATCTTATTTATCGCCTACCAGGACAGGTAATGTATTCAGGTTTTTCCAATCTATTCCTTTGTGATAAAACAGACTTCAAACACTCATCATAATGCTACCACTTCTCAAAAGCTCCTGAATGTAATGTATCCTTAGTGTATTTGTCAGTTAATTACATAGAATTCTGTATTTCTGATGAACAGAATTTGCTGCATATTTCTTTACTAGGTCAACTATGGTAAATTTTCCTTTTCAAGCAATGACATAAATCTTTAAAAAATACAGCACTGTGATTTCCATATTTTTTCATTTTTTATTTTTTAAAGATATGTTTATTTATTTGAAAGAATGGCAGAGAGAAGGAGAAGGAAGAGGGAGAGAGAGAGAGAGAATCTTTCATCTAGTGGTTTAATCCCCAGACAGAAGCAATAGCCAGACATGGTCAGTGCAAAGGCAGGAGTCAGAAACTCCATCTAGGTCTCCCATGGGTGTGGCAGGAGCTCAAACATTTGAGCCTCATATGCTGATTCGTCAGTGCATTAGCAGGGCGCTGGACTGGGAGTGAAGTACTGAAACTCAAACTGGCTCTTCAGTGAGGGTCTCTAGCATCCTATTCAGCAACTTAGCCAGCTGCGTACGTGATGAAGTCCAAGTTGCCTATACTGAGAAACTACAAGGAAACATATTTTTGGCAACCTCCTAGAAAAATGCATTCAGGTAACTGGTTATCTGACTGACATCACATGATAACAAAAACTTTGAAAAGTTATAAAAGGTAATGAAAAATCATTGCTATGTCATTGAGTTTTCAATATGGCTTATGAAGTAATAGGAACCCGGACATTAAAAATGGAACTCATATAAAATAATAATAAAAATCCCATAACAAAAAAAAATGACCAAAACATAAATCTTATACTATTATTTTGCCAAGATGACAGCAACAATAGCTCTGATCTACATATGCTTTTGAATGAGCTTTCCCATCCCCACATCAACTTCTCTTTTCCTTGAACTTAGGCTGTTTCACTAAATAAAAATCAAATGAGAGTCTGAGACAGCTAGGGTGAAATCATGCGCTAACTTTGAATTCACACTCAGTTTTCTTGGCACTCATACTCAGGATATACCTCAGCATCCAGCTGCTGCACTGTGATAAATCCCAAACACGGAGCATCCAAGGGCAGGTTCTCCACTCAGTGCCCAAACGGAGCTCCCAGCAACCAGCATCAGTTGTAGCCAAGTGAGTGCATTACCTCCGGTGGATAAATCTGTTGAGAATTCAGATTACTGAAGTCTCCTATGCCACCTCACTGTGACTGCCTCAGAGAGAACTCTCTCCACAAGATCATGAGAAGTTTTTAGAGCTATTCATTTGGGATAATTTTTATGCAGTGACTGAAATGGAGATGTGTGTCTTATTCTGTTTCCATCCTGTGTTTGTCTCCAATTTGATTCCCTTAGGAAGAGAAGTGTTGCTGATTTGATGTCTTCATATCAAGGACTCTGAATAGCCCCTATGGAGGCCGCTTTCAGCTACATAGTATAGAAGATATGTTGTGCTCTTTCTCAGCATAGTTCTGAAATGACCAGGCAGCTCCAGATCCCTGCATTTTTAGAACACTTGGTTTTGGAGAGTCCCTTTTTGGAAGTAAGCGACCAAGTAAAGAAATGTGGCAACCTTGGAGGGCTCCCTTGCATCCCATATTGAAGTCACCAGATTCAAGTCCTAGCTTCATTTTAGATCAAGCTTCCTGCTAGCATACACCCTGTAAGGCAGTAGGAGATAGCTCAAATACTTGAAACTCAAATACTTGAAACCCGGCCACCAACATGGAAGAGCCAGACACCTGATCTAGCCCTGGCTGTTGTGGGCATTTGGGGAATAAATCAACAGATAGAAGATCCTGCTCTCATTTTCTATGGAAGAAACAAAACACTAATGCAAGGGTCAAGCTAAGATTCCTGCAAAGGAGCTACTGTGGACATTCGGTCCAATCGAGTCTTCAGATGACTTTGGCTTAGCTCTGTATTCGCCCTATGCCAGGAACTGCATAAAATACCAAACAGAAATCCTGAGCTGAACACAGTTAACTCAGAAACATGCGATAGCTGGCAGGTTTCAGCCTCTCATTCGCACAGCTATTTTTGTGGAACAAGAGAGAACTGGAGGGGCTGGCATTGTGGCACAGCAGGTTAAGCCACAGCCTGCAATGTGGCATCCTGTATAAGTACCAGTTTAAGCTGACTGCTCCGCTTCTGATCCAGCTCCCTATAATGTGCTTGGGAAAACAGCAGGAGATGGTCCAAACGCCTGGGCCCTTGCCAACCCTGTGGGAGACCTGGATGGAGTTCCAAGCTCCTGGATTCGGCTTGGCCCAGACCGGCCACTAAAGCCACCTGAGCAGTGAACCAGTGCATGAAAGATCTCTCTCTGTGTGTAAATATGCCCATTGAAATAAATAAACCTTTAAAAGGAGAAAGAGAGGGGAGAGGAGAGAGGAAGGGGGGGCAGAGAGACAGAGACACACAGAGAGAGAGAGAGAGAACTGGGAAAAAAACACATGTACTGGAAAAGAAAAAAATGAACAGAGAATTTACAAAAATAGAAACAAAACCCTTTTAAGAATGGGAAAAGCACTCAACTCTAATAATACTAATGGAAATGCAAATTTAAAATAAAACAGGTGACTTCACCTTACAGCTCTGATAAGTAAAGAGCTTAAAATATACATTCCCATTCTTCAAAGATGACGAAGCTAAATATCAGGGAGTTTGGGCCACAGGAATAACTACCACTTCCAAATCTGAAATGGCAGACACAGCCCACACATGCTGAACTACCACAGAAGCCGCTGAAGCCATAAACTGGCAGGAACACACGAATGATAATTTTTCATATTTATGGGGATATGAGTAAGAAATTCCTGCATGCTCTAGCTTTGGTGGTATCCCTCGTTTCTGTAGGCTTTACCTAGAGAACCCCAGAAGGCTATCATGATGAAAAACAGAAGGTTCTCCTTATGTCTCTGGGGAAGGAATGGGAAGACTAATTACTATGAAATGGGCTCCCTGCACTTCCCCAAACAAAGACCGACATCCCAGGGAAAAGGCCTTGTCGGAGCTTTATCCAGGTTGAGGGAAAGTCCTTGAGCTGGAAGAGGGTGAAGGAATCCATCAACACAGCAAGGAAACAGATTGGAAACACTGTAGGATAAAAAACCGGGAAAGCCAAACAGAAAACTCATCGGAGGAACACTTACGAATGTCAAGACACAGACCCAGTAAAGATATAACTGGAAGGTTACAGAACACCAACTGTCCCTCTAAGGAGAGCTCCATCAACAGGGCCCCACTGCAGCGACAATAGAAAGAATTGCAGAGTGTAGGCCCTCTCTGAGGGTGAGTACTCAAAGAAAAAGAATGGGAAATCTATGGCACTCACTGCTGTAGTAGAAGGGACATGCAGCCTGACACCAGAAGCATCACACTGAAGACCTGCTTAAAATATTACTTATGGGGCCAGCGCTGTGGCACAGCTGGTTAACGCCCTGGCCTGAAGCGCTGACATCCTATATGTGCACCGGTTCAAGACCCAGCTGCTCCACTTCCAATCCAGCTCTCTGCTATGGCCTGGGATAGCAGTAGAAGATGGCCCAAGTCCTTGGGCTCCTGTACCTGCATGGGAAACCTGGAAGAAGCTCCTGGCTCCTGGTTTCGGATCAGTGCAGTTCCGGCCGTTGCGGCCATCTGGGGAGTGAACCAGCGGATGGAAGACCTCTCTCTCTATCTGCCTCTCCTCTCTCTGTGTAACTCTTTCAAGTAAAATAAATAAATCTTTAAAAGAATATTATTTAATACAGTAATTAGATTTCAGCAAAAAATTATAACAGATGTAAAAGACACAAGAAAGAACAGTCTGAGGAGAGAAGCAGGCATTATAGCCAGATTCATAGGACATGAAAGGAACTACATGAAATTTAAATTTCAATAGTTAACATGTTGATGCTCTAATGGGAAAAGTCAGCAACATATATCAATATACATGTAATATAAGCAAAAATGTGAAAAACCTAAGAGGGATCAAGAAGACATGATGGGAATATAAAAACAATGTACTATATTAGAATCACTGGGTTTCAGTTCCACTTCTGACTCAGTTTCCTACTAACGCTGACTCTAGGAGGCAGCAAATGATGAGTCCCTACCACCTACTTGGGAGAACGGGGTGGAGTTCCTGGCTGCCGGCTTCAACCTGGCCGAGCACCTGCTATTGCAGGTGTTTGGGGAATTAATCAATAGATGAATGATAGCTTGCTTGCTCGCTCAGTCTCTCTCTCTCTCTCTCTCTCCCATCTTTCTCTTTCTCTTGATCTACCTTTCAAATAAATAAAAACAAGAACACTTTTTTAAAAAGCAGAAAAATAGAAGAAAACAAAGAATAAAACAAAAATCTGTAAACATGGTAAATATTATTCTACAAAACCTTTAAATTGTAATAGCCTAAATAACCAGTTAGGCCAGTGCCGCAGCTTACTGGACTCATCCTCCACCTGCGGCGCCGGTACCCAGGTTCTAGTCCCAGTCAGAGTGCCGGATTCTGTCCCGGTTGCTCCTCTTCCAGTCCAGCTCTCTGCTGTGGCCCGGGAGTGCAGTGGAGGATGGCCCAAGTGCTTGGGCCCTGCACCCGCATGGGAGACCAGGAGGAAGCACCTGGCTCCTGGCTTCAGATCGGCGCAGCACACCAGCCTTGGCAGCCATTGGAGGGTGAACCAACGGAAAGGAAGACCTTTCTCTCTGTCTCTCGCTCCCTCACTGTCTAACTCTGCCTGTCAAAAAAAAAAAAAAAAAAAAAAAGAGACTTTAAAAGTGTATTAAAAAGAAAACCAAAATATTTGTCATCTATGATAAAGTTCCTTTAAATATAAAGACTTAAATATTTAAAAGAGAAATATTCATCATGCCAACAAAAAATATCCAGTGTAGTTTTATAATATCACATGGTGAAGAATTCATAGCAAAGAAATTTATCAGGAAAAAATAGAGGAATTACATGATGTCAAAGTGATCAATTCTCCAAGAATCATAACAGTACTTACATTTTATATATTTAACAGCATATCCACAAAACACATAAGGCAAATCAACGGAACAGAAGTGAAAAACAGAGAAATCCACAATTATGGTTTGAGACTTCAAAATCTCCCTCTTAGTAAAGATATCGTTAAGCTGCATAACACTATCACTCTACTTGGTCTAATGACATTTATTGAGTGTTCTCTACAACAGTAGCAGAATACACACTCTTTTCAAACTCATGCAGCATTTGCCAAGACAAATCATAATCTGTGCCATAAAACATAATATTTAAAAGCATCAAAATGATGAAAAGCGTGTTAACAATCCATAAGGAAATTAACCAATAAAAAAGTTAGAGAATGAAAGATTGAAGATCCACAAATATATAAAAATTAAAGAACATACGTTTTAGCCATATTGAAAATATAAAGCACTCTACCTGATGAATGTTTGCCTATTTCTTTTTCTACCAAGAAAATTATTTCATATGGAAATTCAGTTATAAGTAAGACGTTCTTGATGATAAAGTTTAAAATCATACTAAGGTTTTATCTCCATCAAGAGAGAAGTTATGGATGCTATATTTCTTCTCAGTTAGAGACATGGTACTGGAGATCAGAGAGTAGAACATTATTTTCTATTGTCTATAGAAATTGTCTACTATACTAAAATTATTAAAGTACATTTTGTCAAATTAGCCTCATTCATCAAGCAAAACAGTCAATGAAATTCATATATTTTAAGAACAAACCATTTCTAATGAGTATTAATGGCAATAATAGCTGAGTCTCTCATGCTCATTTCATATGCTAAGCTTAATTGTGGCAAAAGTCATTTCTGCAAAAGCAGATAAGAATACTCTCCTTCATTCAGTAGGAAAATGTGAGGAGAGTTTGACCTCTAGTCTTAACCTCAAATACTTTGAAATTACAAAGTTTTGTTGGGAGTAAAAACATGTCAATATAAAATATTTTTTAAAAATTTCTCTGAAAATAAATAAACAAAACTTATAGTAATTGCTATGAACACACAAGATAATATAACACAAATAAAAGAAAATGCTGATAGAATGTATAATAACTTATAGTCTAGTAAAATATAAATAAAAGCAAAATTTTTCTCTCTGTTCACTAACCTTTTGTCTAAGATGAAATTACCTCCCTCTCAATTTAAAATATACTATTTTAACTCAAAAACCTCCAAAATTATACATACTTTGTAATTACACCACCTATCATAGTTATTACATCTTACACAATTTTTCAAAGGCCGTAAGACTACCAGCAATAAGAAGTAAAAATCTATCAGTGAGGATTACTTTTATTTCTTTTCTGAAACTGGACAACATTGTAATTTAATAAAAGCTGAAATTTAGAGGTTGTATATTTGTAGCAGTTCCATCAGTCAACAAGAGAATTGTGTTGCTATGTTTGTTACAAAACAGCCCAACATATGAGGATATATGAGTATTCAGAGGTACAATAGGGACTTACGGGGATCAAACATCTCTTCACATGGAGTGACAAATATAGCCAGCTAAAGATGAGCGCTACAATTTTAGGACACCAATCTTACCATCTTGGGCTTATTATTTACAACAGACCATCATAGAATAGGACATAATTCATTCCATGTGGTATGAAGATTTCCTATCCACTGGAACCTTCAATCTGTGATTTTCAAGGAACATATCGTAACGATGGAAAGTATTGAGTAACCCTGAAGTTAATAGCACCTCTTACAGATATTAAATATGTTTGCATGTTGTCATTTTAAATATTTTTTTTAAAAATAGGACCATTCTTTATTTTATATTGAGGATTATTAAAGGTAATTGAAAATGTATGATATTGTAAAAGCAATTTAGGTACATGTGGACCAATCTGGGAATTATTCAATAAATAGCAATCAACATCTTGCCAACAGAAGACAGATTAAAGAAAGAGTAGTCAATATTCCATTAGTAAGTCCATTAGAACCATATTTATATAGAGTACCTTTGTTGTCACTGTTGTTTAGGAACCTAAAATAATTAAAAATGAATTATAACAACTGAACAAATGAATAGACTCATCTACAGTAACAGAAGCTGAATAAATTAGTCACTACTTATGCCATGGCTAGAAGTTTTATGAATTGTTTATTAAAATTATACAATGATTCAGGTAATTTTGTGTTAGGTTTTCTAATATAAGTTATATTTCTGTGAAAACATAGCAGTATTAGTGCTAGTTGTAAAATATGTTTTATATAAAAGTATTAAAATTACATGATGAAAATAGTAGATATCAGCAGGTGGTTGACCTAGTGGTAAAGACACTGGTTAAGACACTCACATTCCAGATCTGAGACTCTGGGTTTACTCCCCAACTCTGCTCCAAACTCCAGCTTTCTGTTAATGTAGGCACTGGAAGACAGGAGCAATGGCTCAGTAATTCAGTCCTTACAATCCATGTGGGTTTTTTAAAAGCTTACATCTTGAAAATGCAATGTGAAGTTAAAGATGGTTTTGAATTGGAGCTGTTGAAATTCGTCTTGAAGGATAAGGTGTTGTTTACAGAAACAGTATGTTCAAAATGCAGTCAAGGGCAATGTAGAGTAAACAATTCTAGTATCACCATGATTCTGTCTTAAAATTAACTTTATAGTCATATCATTGCTCTATTGTCCCTGTGCCAAACACTCCTTTCTGCTTTCAAAAAAACAAACAAACAAACAAACAAACAAGCAAACAACAACAAAAAAACTCTTTACAAAGTTTGTTTCTTCTTCTTTGAAAGAGAAGAAAAAAATAGTCCAGAATTTCAAGAATAGGTCTAGTATATCAATCCAGGATGAGTAAATAAGAATTCTGATTTATTTTTACCTAAACTCTATTCTCTGAAAAATAAACAAACTATTTAATTTAGAAAGGAACTAAATACAATGTTCCCAAAATGTAGATATTTGAAGATTACTAAATTATGTGAAATATATTGGTCTACCAAGAAAGGTAAAATTACACACACTAGATAATCTCAGAAGAACACCATACTGCAAGTTAATGATGTGGAATTCAAGGAGCAGACATTGAGCATGGTGGTTAAGATGCACTGGTCCTATATCAGAGTGCTTGGGTTCAATTTCCAACTCCATCTCCCCACCTGCGAAGACCTTGAGACTTCACAGTTATGGTTCAGATAATCAGGTTGCCACCACACGCATGGGAGACCTGGGTTGTTTTCATGGTTCCTTGCTTTAGCCCCAGCCCAATGCCAACTGTTGCAGGCTTTTGGGGAGTGAACCATCTGATGGAATGTCTGTCTGTCTGTCTGTCTGTCTCTATCTATCTATCTATCCATCCATCCAACCATCCATCTGCCTTCTATTTCTATTTGTCTATATTTCCAGCTGTCTTCTTATCAAGTAAAGAAAATTGTTGTGGAGTTCAAATGTACTCAGGCATCAGAACTACTGGATTTATTGTGAAATTTTCTTTAACTCTTAGAAATATCAACATGTGAAACAAAATAACAAAACATAATTTTAAAAAGTAATTTTGAATACCAAAAGTGTCAAAATAGATGAACCAGGAGCCAAAACGTTAAGAAAAATTTACACAAAATAAATTAAAATTGGTAATAGTTATTTGTTTACCTTTTTTGTTTCTGAAAAGTAGTGAAAATTGGCATAAACTGGTTAGACAACTCTTATCAAAAATTTGTACTCTGGGAGCAAACCTGGAAAATCCCATCATCACGGAGCCAATGCTTTAGGTTCTCCCACAAAGTTATTCAAGCTATTTTCTTGAAAAAAAAAAAATCCACTATATTCACATGAGAAACTATGATGAAGGAGGGGGGCTGAGCTTTTACCCAATTTTGTCAGGGAATACAGCACAATGATGACATTGTGAGAACTTCCCATCATATTATCGGAAATGGCCAGAGCAATCCCTGAGCACACTGCACTACCCCATGCACACTGAGTAGTTTTGTGGAAGACAAGAGAGGCCCACAAGACGAGCAATATCCTGTGGGGGCCTCGCTGACTCCTTAGGAGCCCCCAGAGATGCAGAAATATCGGGAAGAGGTGAATGGTATTTAATAGAGGTCTGAGATGCATCAAAAGCTTACAACAGCACTAAACTGGAATTCACATAGTAATAAAATGGGATTGTACCAATCCATTCTCGGACATAAGCAGGAACAAGGATTATCATAGAGGGTGGAGGGAGGGGCAATCAATATCTCCACAAATGCCTAAAAATAAACAAAGCATTTCAAGCAACAAGAGTAAGGAAGACAATATGACACCCTTTAAATCTTCCATGTTCATGATTAGAAGACTAACATAATCAAAATATCCATATTACCAAAAGCAATTTACAGATTCAATGTGATCCCATTCAAAATACCAATGAAATTCTGCAGATCTAGTAAAAATGATGCTAGAATTCACATGGAAACACAGGAGACCTCATATAGCTAAAGCAATCTTGTGCAACAAAAACAAAGCCAGAGGCATCACAATACTAGACCTCAAGACATACTACAGAACAGCTATAATCAAAGCAGCCTGGAATTCAAAAAACAGACATGTAGACCAATGGAACAGATTAAAAACTCTGTAAATCAATTCACACGTCTTAACCAAGTTGGCTTTGGCAAAGGAGCTAAAATCAATCCCTGGAGTAACGACAGTCTCTTCAACAAGTAGTGCTAGGAAAACTGTCTCCATGTGCAGAAGTATGAAACTAGACCCCTACCTTACACTTTACACAAAAATCCACTCAAAATGGATCAAAGGCCTAAATCTATGTCCTGAAATGATCAAATCATTAGAACACTGAAGAAACCCTGCAAGACTTTGGCATAGGCAAAGACTTCTTAGAAAAGACCCCAGAAGCACAGACAATCAAATCCAAAATTGACAAACATGACTACATCAAGCTGAGAAGCTTCCACAATGTGAAACACACAATCAGCAAAGCGAAGAGGCAGCCAACAAAATAGGAGAAAATATCTGCAAACTATGTAAGTGATAAAGAGTTAACATCCTGAATCTATACCGAGCTCAAGATATTCAACAACAATAAAACAAGCAATCCAGTTAAGAAATGGGCACTGTGGAAGACAGCATGGAGATAACTCAGAAATCTGAATACAGACCTACCATATGGTCCAGTCACCCCACTCCTGGGAATTTACCCAAACCAAAAGAAATAATTATATGAGTTATCTGTACCACCATGTTCACTGCAGCATAATTCACAATAGCCAAGACATGGAATCAACCCAGATGTCCATCAACTGATGACTGGATAAAGAAATTATTGTATATATACACTATGTAGTACTACTCAGCTGTAAAAAAAAAATGAAATTCTGTCCTTTGCAACAAAATGGTCACAACTGGAATCCATTATGCTTAGTGAAATAAGCCAGTCCCCAAAACACAGGTATCATGTTTTCCCTGATCAGAGGTAATGAATAGAGTAACTGAAATATGATGTATTGTAGTGAAATGGACATTTTAATAATCAGTGATGGTCTATAGCCCTTGTCTCTTTTGTTAAGGAACGGTATATTGTTTTGTTTTGCATTCTCTTCATACTATTTGTTGCACGCTTTTACTTTAGATTAGAGTTAACTATACAAGGATTAAATGTAGTAAAAAAATTATAAAAATTAAGAGTGGGAATAGTGGGAATATGAGGGAGCAGGATGAAGGATTGGAGTGTGGGTGGGAGGAAGAGTGGAGCGAGGGTGAGGGAAGTGCCACTATGTTCCTGTAATGGTATAAAGGAACTATTTGAAACTTCCATAATTTAATAAAATATGTACATAAAATATATAAAGAAGGAAACATTTAAAAAAATCAATACATCTTGTTTCTTGTCTATTTCCTTTTTGGATACATGATAACCCAGTCCTCAAGGCTTATAATTACCAATGTTACAAAATGAATTTTTGAAAAATTGATTGAACTACGTTGCAGTATTTTTTAAAAATTCTAAAACTCTAACCCTTTTTTTTTTATCAATTAAAGCTAATTTGAATCAACAGACTTTCTCAATCTATAAATAACCTAGATAATGCAAGCCTTGGGTACCAGACTGATTTACAACTTTTTGTGAATTATTCCAATCTGGTCCCGATTGCCTAAAACTGATGTTCTATGCACATCTATATTTTTCCCCAAAACCGTAAGTTCTTTGAAGGAAGACCCCATGTCTTATCTATCGTCATCTCCCTGGTATCCAGCAGAGTGACGGGCACATAACTGATTCTTGAAGAATCACACAGAAGGAATGGGCATCTTCTTTCATGATGGAAATGAGTTTTGAGTGGATATCACTCTGCTCAATGGAACAAAGAAACAAGAAACTCCATGTGAGGCCTTGGATGAGGATTAGGGCTAAGAAAAGATTTGCATGTAAGATGTGGTGAGAAATAGAGTAAAAAAATAAGAATACATTTTCTCATTGATAATTTTTCTGAGTACTCTGACAATGTCAAACTCTCCATATTGTTAAAATCAGTTATCACTATTCCTAAGGTTTGCTAACACCGAATAAGATCTATTTCTTTAAGATGTATTTATCGGGGTCAGCACTGTTGCATAGTAGGTTAAGCTTCTGCCTTCAGCCCGGCATCCCATAGGGCACCAGTTCATCTCCTGGCTGCTCCTCTTCCAATCTGGCTCTCTGCTTATGGCTTTGGAAACAAGTGGAAGATGGCCCAACTGCTTGGGCCCCTGCACCCATGTTCTAGACCTGGAAGAAATTCCTGACTCCTGGCTGCAGATCAGCCCAGCTCCACTGTTGTAGCCATCTGGGGAGTTAACCAGCAGATGGAAGACCTCTCTCTCTCTGTCTCTCCCTGTGTCTGTAATATTTTTAAATATTTATTTATTTAGTTATAAGGCAGAGCAACAGAGAGAGAGAGACAGAATGAGAGACAGAGCTCAAGCAGACCAACAGACACAGAGACAGGTTCATTCCCCCCAGATAGCTGTAACAGCCAGATCTGGCCAAGGCCCAAGCCAGGAGCTGGGAATGCCACCCTGGTTTCCCAAATCAGTTTCAGGGCCCAAGCTCTTAAGCCATATTCTGCTGCCTTCCCAAATGATTAGCAGGAAAAAGTGGGACAACAAGGACTAGAAATAGTACTATAAAATGGGATGGGTAAGCAGCAGTTAGCCTGCAAGACCATCATGCCTGTCCCCTTAAAAAGGTCTTATGAGTACTTAAGGGAACTATCAACTTTGCCAAATATGATCCTAGCAAAGTAACCTTGTGGAAAGAAATGTTCTCTTGCAAAATCCTACTGGAAAACAGACTTAGCTAAGTGCTGGCACAATCAATTGTGGTAGGATGCTGAGGAAGAGAACTAACAATGCTAGAGGCCTCTAGTCCATCCTGAG